ATTTCATTTGTGTTATTGAATGTGACCACTTCACTTACTACTCTGGGTCAGTGTATTTATTATGCTCACCTATCTATATACAAGAAGCTGAAGCTTGAAAAGGAAAAGGAACATTGATAAGTACTTATAATTAGGAAATGACAAAAACATGGATTTAGATCTAAATCTGTCACATGTATATAACTCATACTTAATTGTAAGTACCGTATTACTTGCTCCTTTAAAAAAAATCTTGTGAAGAGGGATGTTTGTCTACTAGTCTTGTGTGTACAAGTTTAAACACCATATTTTGTAAAAGCACTTATTTCTGTTAATGGATACCAACCAACAGTGTAATTTTATTTTTCAGCCAGTTCTGTGAATGAAATATAGCTTTGGAAGTTAGTTTTTTCTTTCTCTTGCATCATTATCCATAGCAAAAGACTTGACATTTAGAGGTAGGTGATTGGGAAAATAGAATACAGCTTTTTGTTTGGTAATGCTATGTGCTTGAGTTCATAGAGCAGAGCTGACACTGGTGAGCTACTGGATAGAAAGGGCAATGGTATAAGATCAACGGCTTATAGTATTTTGTTTTGGGTAGGTTTTTTGGTTGTTTTGTAGTGCTAGGAATTGGACATCAGGCTTTGCTAGGCAAGTGCTGCACCACTAAGTGACATCCCTAACCCCTGAATTTCTTGTCCTTGCTGTTAATGCTTCCATTGTTAAGACCTTGAGCAGGTCAGTTTCCATTTCTTGGTTAATATTCTTTTATTTGGATAATTGATAATATATAATGTAGTATTTTGACATGCTCAAAAGTTTGTTTGTCTTAGAATTCTGTGTGCCTGGCAATGTAGTTTAGTGTTAGAACACTATGTTAGCCTATAGGTTCAATTCCCAGCACCAAAACAAAATAAGTTAAATTCCATAAAGCCAGTGGGGGTTTCTTTCTTACTCTCTATTCTGTCCTCAGCATTAAGAGTATTTGTTGAGATGCAGTAATTTGGTAGAAATGGGAATAGACCTCACCTTTTTAAGTTAATAATCATATGGCCATATTCAAGTTTCCTAATATACCTTAGTTTTGATTTTCTCACTTGCAGAATGGAGGTGCTAGAGTACTTGTGTCTGTGGGGTCTATTTTGAAGGTTTGAATGAGATAATGCATGTGAAGTATTTAAAATAATACTAAGCACACAATAACGCTCAAAGATAGTTGTTACTGAATCCGTTTATAATTATCTGCTTTTTGCTAATCTCACTCATTCAGATAATCATAGTTTATTTTTTAAAGAACTTTGAGTGAAATATTTATCTTAACTGGTTAGAATACATGATAATTATGGGAGAATGTTATAATAGCTATCCATGAGTGTTAGTTTTCCTCCCTACTATAGCCTATATTTCTAAACACTGTCTCACTAAAGAGGTATGAGTAGACAGGGAAAATAACAAAAGTAATACAAATCTATTGCTTTAGAAAGTAACTTAAACTGTCACATTTCTGATGAGTTAAAGTAATCAACTTCATATATGACCAACAGAGTTACTTATATAAACTTTGGAGAGACCCTGTGTTTTTTTTTTTTTTTTGGTCCGGTCGTGGGGCCTGAACTCTGGGCCTGGGCGCTGGCCCTCAGCTCTTCAGCTCAAGGCTAGCGCTCTACCACTTGAGCCACAGCGCCACTTCCGGCTTTTTTCTTTTTGCTTATGTGGTGCTGAGGAATCGAACCCAGGGCCTCATGCATGCAAGGCAAGCTCTTTACCACTGAGCCACCTTCCCAGCCCCGAGACCCTGTGTTTTAAGGAACTCCTTTAAGTGTTGGTTCTTTTCCTTCTATTTTCATCTTTGAATCTAAGTCTTTGATCATCTTCTGATTTGAAGTAGATCAGAAAGACCATGGAGATGTGGTAGGGAAAAAAAAAATGTTCCTAGTAGATAGAGGGTACAGAACTAGTCAGTTAATTAAAACCCTTGGAGTCTGATATATTTGGTATTTCAAACTTTTCAGATTTTATCAAAAAGATACAGTACACCATCATACATTGTGTAATTCTCATGGTTGGGATCTGGGCAGTTCCTCATAATCAAACATTGATGTTTCTGAAGTGAAATAGAGTACTCTAGGTGGGATAAATAGTAGAATAAATAGGACATGAGTAGCTTTACATCCATTGAAGTTGTTTTGCTGCCAAATAACTTCATTAAAAACCTATGAAAGAGCTGGAAGCATGACTAAAGTCCTAGAGCACCTGCTTAGCATGCTTAAGGCTTTCTTGAGTTCAAATCCCAAATAACAAATCTAAAAAACAAAACTAAAACATATAAGAAAGGATGGGGATGTGGCTCAAGTGATAGAACACTTGACTAACAAGAGTGAGACTCTGAGTTCAAATCCCAGTATTACCTTTACCTCCAAAACGAAATCAAACAAAAAAACTCTGTAAGAAACATGCCTATATATGTTGGGGTTTTTTTGAAGATTTTTCATTTTAGTATACACATCTATGTGTTTGTATTTGCTCATAAAAATACAATTCTGTGGACATTTTTATTAATTAATAACTTTTAACTCAACATCTTTTTCTTCTATAACAATGTTTTGCAGTTTTTTATTCCCTCTAAATAAAAAGAATTTATAGAACTTCACATCAGGAAGGATCAAAAAGTGTTATAACCTGTTTTATAATTCTTCCTGAATTTAAACGTTTACTTATGGAAGGCCTTCGAATGGGGAAAAAGATCACATGACTGGAAATTTTTTCTTGGTTTCACATTTATGAAATGTAACACTATGCAAGTTGTTGCTTGCCTCATCCTTTTGGATACATAGTGTTTCATTGATTTGTATGAAGGGTGATTTTCACATTTTATTATTTTGGAAAAGAAGATGACTTTATACATATCATTGGCCAAATGGTTGTAGTAGTGTATTTTCACAAACAGCACATCAAATCTAGCATCAGAATTTGTAGTTGAGATCTTTGATTTGGAAGAACATCTAAAAGACATTAGTGAAGTACTCTTGAACTCCAAGGAAGTAACTGAACGGCCAGCAGCAGAGTGAAGAATGGCCCCTCATAATACAAAGCAGCATGTTGTTAGCTCTTTTATGGATTCTTTTGTGTGTGTTTCTTTTATTCTTTTCCCTTTTGGTGACAAAGTCTTACTCTGTAGTTCAAGCTGGCCTCCAACTTGTCATCTTCCTGGCTTAGCCTTCCAAGTGCTAGGATTACCATGCACCACCATGCCTAGTCTATCACTAATGCTCTTGGAACAGTTATGCATTATGGGGTAAATAGAGATAATGTAGAATATGAGTCCAAGTGTTTCATAAGCCTCTGTCTGAATGTGAAATAGTTTTAACAACACTTAAGCTTATTTTGCTAATATTTTCTATTTTATGTATGTAAAAGTTGATTTATAATGCCAATTCTAAAGGAATCCTTTTGATAAACAATATTTTGAGGGGAAAAAACAGAAGAAAACATTGTCAGAACTAGAGGTTTAGCTCAAGTGGTAAAGCACCAGCTGTAAATTAAAATAAGGCCTGAGGGGCTAGGAAGTTACCTCAGTGGTAGAGTGCTTGCCTCGCATGCATGATGCCTGGGGTTCAATTCCTCAGCCACCACATAAGCAGAAAAAAGCCAGAAGTAGTAGCCTTGAGCTGAAGAGCTGAGGGACAGCACCCAGGCCCAGAAAGAAAAGAAAATAAGGCCTGAAATTAAAAAAAAAAGTTAAATATTGTTGTAACTTAACTTTTTTCTGTATTGCTGGTATCTGTAATAATGAATGTTCAAATATAGTATATAAGGTGCACATTTAAATGGCACTAAGTGAATGTGTTAGTTGAAATATGAGATTAAATGAATATCAAATTCAAATGCTTAATCAAAAAATGTAGGTGACACTGTTGCTTATCTATTTTTTTTTTAACTTGAGGTGCTTTCTACAAATATTCCATTGGTCTTAGTAATCTATCTTGATCATTATATAGGAGTTTTTGATTCCTAGTAGGAACTGGAAATAGGTAGGCTTATGAGCTTAGCACAGACCTTAATTAGGAATTTTCTTTCAGAGCTTGTTCTTTACTATTATGCAAGAACCAAGTAGGTAGCAGTGTTCTTGTGAGACTGTAAAATACAGACTGGGAGCTGGGTGCCAGTGTTTGATGCCTGTAATCCTAGCTACTCAGGAGGCTGAGATATGAAGATCACAGTTCAAAGCCAGCCCAGGGAGGAAAATCTGTGAAACTCCCATAAATTTATCTCCAATAAATCACCAGAAAACCAGAAGTAGCGCTGTGGCTCAAGTGGTAGAGAGCTTGCCTTGAGCTGAAGAGCACAGGGACAGTGCCCAAGCCCAGGGTTCAATCCCCACCGACAAAAAAAAAAAAAAAAAAAAAACGAACAGACTGGGAGATACAGAGAGACAAGTGTGAATTTTGTATCCCCTCCCCCAAAAAGATGCCTTTTCTTTTTTTTTAATTTAATTTAATTTTATTTGTGAACATACTGTACAGAGGGGTTACAATTACATGGGCAGGATAATGCGTACATTTCTTACCAAGCATTGCAGCCTCCTCCTTTGGTTTACCCTTCACATCCCTTCCCAGCTTCCCCCAAAGATGCCTTTTCTATTCACCTTATGCTTGAGTGAATGCTAGAGGCACTGCAACATCTACGGGACCCACTTTCTCAGAGTTGACTCCTTTTCTAGGCAGGTGTTCTAGATGGAAACCTGAGTGTGTTTATACCACTGTAGTAAGGAGTCTTATAGTCTCAGAATATACACATTAAACCACTACCAAAAAGAAACTTTCACACAACAGTGTACACCAGTTAATTAACTAGTGCTGGTCATAACTCATTAAGTTGGTTTTTATGATCCTTATTTTCAACCCTACTTGAAATACTATGCATACATATACATGTATGCATCTATGAGTAAATGGGCCATTATGAGTTATTTGCCTACCTAATATCTTTAGAGCCATGGGAATTCAATATGACCTTATTTTGTTTTATAGGCTGGAGCATTGGATTTGCTCAAAGAGCTTAAGAATATTCCCATGACTCTGGAATTACTACAGGTATGTATTTCTATGAATAATTGTTTTTGAACTGGTAATTGTAAAATACTAAAACATCTTTAGTACAGGTTTGTTTTTTAACTGTCCTATTGTGGTATATTCTGTTTTTTTTCTGAAGATGGCATCATACACCAATGATCTCCTAAGTTGCCATTATTAAAAATACTCTTTCTCAAGAAGAATAAAACATGAATCTCCAGGGTTGACCGAGAAAGCGCAATATGAAATAGTGTTGAACTTGTGGCCCTGATTTGATGTTCAGCATTTTGATTTCTTTTTTTTTTAATAAGTTTTTTATTGTGAAAACACTGTACAGAAGGGTTACAGTTACATGAGCAAGGTAATGAGCAAGGTAATTTCTTATCAAGCATTATTGCCTCCTTTGTTTTTCCCACCCCTTCCCTTCCCTCCCAGCTCCACAGCTACACTCCCCCCCTTCCACCTAAATTGTAAAATTCATTTTTCGACATAGTGTCTTGTATATTTCATCAACATTTTGATTTCTTGGTCTTTCATCAATAGCTGCTGCCAGCATGACATAGCCTCAAGGTAGGATGGCTGTTTATTGCTCTTTTCCAAGTATGTAAGTTTAGTAGACATTACATAGATTCATTACTGAATTCTTAATTTTCTTTTCTTTTCTTTTCTTTTTTGGTCTGAGACTTGAACTCATGCTGATGCTTTTGCTCATTGGCTAGTGCTCTACCAACTGTGCCATACCTTTAGCCCCCTGAGTTCTTATTTTAATGTTCTATCAAAACTAAAAACATAAAACCTTAAAAGCCAAACTACTAAAAAATTTAGTCAGTAACTCAAATCTGCTGTTTTTCCATTGTACATATTTTATTATGAATTAGTGTCTTCCTTGATATTTCTTATTTCATTAAGTCAGAATTTAAGAATTACAGGAGTATATGATACGGTGGGAGAGCAAGTTATATATTTATTTTCATTATTGTATAGCTGAAATTGAACACTTCTTTCAGTTTTGAAGGCACTAAATTTCAATTATATTAGTAGCATTGTGGGTGTAACTGAAGAAATCACAAACATTTTAGCTTCAGTTGAAGTTTTTGAAAATTTTTTTAAGTTCCTTTTTTGTTTTTCTTTTGGTTTTTTTTCTTTACTAGGTCTTGTTTCATACTTCAATAAGGGAGCAGGTATGTCAGTATATTACATTTTGAAATATCCAATTTTTTTTTTTTTTTTTTTGGTCCGGTCATGGAGCCTGAACTTGGGCCTGGGCACTGTCCCTCAGCTCTTCAGCTCAAGGCTAGCGCTCTCCCACTTGAGCCACAGCGCCACTTCCGGCTTTTTTCTTTTTGCTTATGTGGTGCTGAGGAATCGAACCCAGGGCCTCGAGCATGCAAGGCAAGCGCTCTACCACTGAGCCACCTTCCCAGCCCCAATATCCAATGTTTTTTCCAGGGTTGTTTTAGCTGTTTAGCGTCCCTTGAATTTCTGTAATTAAGGGGAAAAGCTTGTTGGTTTATGCACATAAGGCAGATAAGATTGCTGTAGGCATTGCATTGAATTTAATTAGTATTTACTCTTAACATTAAAGTTTTCCAATCCCTCAACATAAGATGTCTTTTTATTTAGGTCATCTTTGATTTTTTTCCACAAAGTTTTTAGTAGTTCTTATGTGTGTTAATATTATATATGCTTTATAGTAGCTGCATAAAATGCTGTATAGACTTTTACCAAAGGTTGAATGGTTTGACTGGGATCATAGTTCAGTGGGTACAGTGCTTACTGAGCAAGGTCTTATTTAGGTTCAGTCCTCTGCACTGAGTAGGGTTGATTTTGATTGATGTAGTAGTAACCTTTCAGTCATCTTGGCAAAAACTCATGAGTGATCATGAAGGAAATTTTTCTTCTGAAAACTCTGCTTGTTTGCTGTGATGTTAAAGTGTCTATTATGTTTAGTCTTCTTTTTTTTTTTGTTTCACTATCAGTATGTAACTGATTCCCTTAATTTGACTCAGCTATGGCTCTCTCTCATTGCCAAGGTATATTGTATATTGTCTTTCTAAATGAACATTTGATGCTCCATTGAAACCTTGTGCCAAGGCACATGATTTCTCAGTACATCAGAATGTAATGATTCATTATATAGTCAACTGATTAACCACATAGTCCCAATGCTGTTTGCACACTGAGTATTTGTTTTTAATAGCCTACCTATCACATCTTGTAAATCTTAGCATATTCATATTAATTTCAGAAACAGTCCCTGGAGTTTAAAGGGTTTTGTTTTGTTTTTCCCCTGGTAGTGGGGCTTGAATTCAGGGCATAAGCACTGTCCCTGAGCTCTTTTTCTTTTTGCTCAAGGCTGGCAGTTTACCACTTTGAGCCACAGCTCCACTTCCAGTTTTCTGCTGGTTAATTGGAGATAGGAGTCTCATGGACTTTCCTGCTTAAGTTAGTTTTAAACCACGATCCTCAGATCTCAGCCTCCTAAGTAGCTAGCATTATAGGTGTAAGCCACCAGCACCCAGCTAGTTTAAAGAATTTTTTTTTTTTTTTTTTGCTGGTTGTGGGGCCTGAACTCTGGACCTGGGCACTGTCCCTCTGCTCTTCAGTTCAAGGCTAGCGCTCTACAACTTGAGCCACAGTGCTACTTCCCGCTTTTTTTCCCTTCTGTTTATGTGGTGCTGAGGAATCGAACCCAGGGCCTCATGCATGCAAGGCAAGCTTACTACCACTGAGCCACCTTCCCAGCCCAGTTTAAAGAATTTTTAAAAACAAATACAAACTTGGTAACTCAACTAAATGACTTCCTAGCTGGTCCCTCTCTTAATTCCATTCCACTCAGAATATTTCCTAAAGACCAAAAAGTGTATATCCTAATTTTACCTTTTAGTCTACCTCAACAGCCTTACTTCTTATTTTGATTAGACAATCTCTTCCTTAGTTGAACATGTTTATGATAGACAACTGTATGCTCAGAATGGATTTCTTATGTGTAAAGCAAGATAACCATTGACTTTAGTAATTAAAACATTGTAATTAAAAGCAATCCTCCAAAAGTATAGTTTATTCATCTATTATCTTTGGTCTCCTCTAAGCTTCTCCTATAATACCATTTTCTTTGTTAATTTGTGTTAACTCTTATGCACAGAACTGCTTTAGAAACTGAAGTTATTTTCTCCACTCATTACAGAAATAGGATTTCTTGGGGCTGGGAACAGAGTTCAGGCCTTATGACCGGATCCCAAACCCCCCCCCAAAAAAAAAAAAAGAAATAGGGTTTCTTCTAGAAAACATGCTGTTAACCCCAAACTATTTGGAGTCTTTAAAATTATGTTGTCCCCTTTTTCTTTCTGCTATTGAATCTTACCTGTTTTGCTCAGCTTTCCAAGATGTAGCATAGAATACTCCAGCCAATCATATATTCAGTTCTTGAACAAAACGTCTTTCTTGAATCTGTCTTTTTGTGGAGAACTGAATAATTTAGAAGGAAACCTTTAAGTGCCAATTTATTTTTCTACCTCAAAACTTACAGCAGGAGTTCTCTTTTTAACCTAAGGATTTCTTCCTTAGACTGTATGTTTTGAAAGATTGTCTGCTAATAACCTGAACTTACTAAATAATTTATCATTCTTTACTTCTCATCCATAGTTGAACCTTTGTGTTCTTTCAGCACAGTTTGAAAACCATTGATGAGTTTGAAAGAGCATAGACTTTGGAGGTAGACAAATCAATATTAAAGTCCTGAGCTTTGCTAATTCGTAATAGTGTAAAGCTGGACAGGTTATTATTGATACTTCCAGTCTCTTCATCTTTAAAAATAAGGATAATGGTCTCAACTTTGAAGGGTTGTTAGAATGTCTATTGAATGTGATGTCCTGGCCACTTGCTTATTACTACCATATGTCAAATTTGGTACCATATGATTACCTTTATCTTGCTAAGTCTGTTTTAGTATCTGTGATTATATGCTAGTTACAGGCTCATACTCCCTAATCTCCCTAAAAGTGTATGTAAACCTCTGCAGATGGTAGTTATTGTGTGGATTCCTTTATTATAAGTTGGTCTTGTGCGCTGTGATACTGTTCATGTAGAAAAATTCAATGAAACAGATGTGTATAATTAGTTGTATAAAAGTACATTTTGTATTTTATCCTTTGGAAATACTGATTTCATTTAATCAGACTTACTGAGTAGTATGTTTACAGACACTGGTGGTGTGTGTGTGTGTGTGTGTGTGTGTGTGTGTGTGTGTGTGTGTAATGACCACTGATTTCATTTAATCAGACTTACTGAGTAGTATGTTTACAGACACTGGTGGTGGTGGTGGTGGTGGTGGTGGTGGTGGTGGTGGTGGTGGTGGTGGTGTGTGTGTAATCACCAGTGTTTAATCTGGATGTGTATGTACCTTTAGTCTTCTAGGATAATTCATGTAATTGAAGTAGGTTTTTTTGTGCTACTGCCCCAGAGCTTGAATTCAAGGCCTGGCTTCTTTTTTTGTTTTGTTTTGTTTTTTGGTCAAGACTAGTGCTTTACCACTTGAGTGAGCCACAGCTTCCACTTCTGGCTTTTTGGTGGTTAATTGGAGATAAGAGTCTCATAGACTTCCCTGCCTGGGCTGGCTTCAAACAATGATACACAGATCTCAGCCTCTTGAGTAGCTAAGATTATAGGCATGAGCTGGTATCTGGCTCAAATAATTCAAGTTTTAAAAAGATTTCAAAGGAGAGATGGGAATCAGAAAAAGAAGATGTGGATGATGTACTAATTTGTTTGATGTACTAATTTGTTTGAAATAAAATTGCTATACAATTTTTTTTTCAGTCTACTAGAATTGGAATGTCAGTTAATGCTATTCGTAAGCAGAGTACAGATGAAGAAGTTACATCTTTAGCAAAGTCGCTCATCAAATCGTGGAAAAAGTTATTAGGTATAGTTGATCTTTATGTTATTCTGGCTTGTTAAAATGGTTGTTGTATTTTTTCCTGTATGAATCTAGATGTATTAAAAGCAGTGCCTCAGAATATGTGTATGTAGGAAGGATGTTTTAACTTCCTTGAAAGTTGTCAACAACCAACGTTGTCACCAAAAAGAAAGAAGAGAGGAAGAAGAGTGTTTAAATTTTTGTGAGAGAAAAAAAAAGACATTACAGCTGTGCTAGTTTTGCTCTTACATTTATTAGAGTTTACATTCTTCTTTAGAAAACTGTATGTGCTGGTACTGGGCCTTGAACTCATACTCAAGACCTGTGCTCTTGCATAGCCTTTTTGTTCCTTGTTCGTATTGTATCATTTGAGCCAAGCTTCCATTTTCAGCTTTTTTGCTGGTTAATTGGAGGTAATACTCTAAGATTTGCCTGCTGGAGGAGGCTTTGAACCTTCATCCTTAGATCTTAGCCTCCTGAATAGCTAGGATTATAGGCTTGAACAATTGGTACTCAGCCTAGAAAAAAAGATTTTTTTTTAATATTTTGCAAGGTAGGGATGGAGGTGTGGTTCAAGTGGTAAGGGTGCTTGTCTAGCAAAGAGGAGACCGTGAGTTCAAGCCCAAATAGTGCCCCCCAAAAAAGTTCAAGAAAAGATTTGCATGTTAATTAGTATTAGGAATTTTTGTTGTTGTTGGTCATGGGACTTGAACTCTGGGCTTGGGCACTGTCCCTCAGCTTTTCAGCTGAAGGCGAGCGCTTGAGCCACAGTGCCACTTCAGATTTTCTGGTGGTGTATTGGAGATAAGAGTTTCATGGACTTTCCTGCCCGGGCTGTCTTTGAACCGTGATCCTCAGATGTCAGCCTCCTGAATAGCTAGGATTACAGGCATGAGCCACCAGTGCCCAGCTTAGTATTAGGAAAATTAAAGTAGGAAAAACAGAAATTTTCAAATACAATCAGTAATTGCTTGTTACCCTTGTCTTTTGTTCCCCTCCATGCCATAGATTTTACTCCACTAACTATAATTTTACTATATTATATACTTACTTATGGCCATTTTATGAAAATATTTTGTATTTTTCCATTGTAACGTCAGAGTAATCCATCCATGAGTGTCATGAGTTAGCTGAGCACTTGCCTATTACTAAATTTGTCCTGCTAAATTACTTGTTTTGAATATGTTGATGAATATCTTCTGTTTAAAGCTTCCCCTTTCATCTTTAGCTCAATTTCTAGACAATTACTAGTACTTGTAGGTAGCACATTTTAAGCAATTAAGATTGACCTGTATTAGAGTTTTTACTTCTCACTACAACCTGGTACTTGAACTTGGCCTTGTGCTCTTGCTTGGCTTTTTTGCTCAAGGGTGGTATTTTTTTTTTTTTTTTTTGGGTCCAGTCGTGGGGCCTGAACTCTGGGCCTGGGCGCTGTCCTTCAGCTCTTCAGCTCAAGGCTAGTGCTCTACCACTTGAGCCACAGCGCCACTTCCGGCTTTTTTCTTTTTGCTTATGTGGTGCTGAGGAATCGAACCCAGGGCCTCATGCATGCAAGGCAAGTGCTCTACCACTGAGCCACCTTCCCAGCCCTATTTTTTTTTAATTGTGAAACTACCATACAGAGGAGTTACAATTACATGGGCATGACATTTTTTTTTAAATAAGTTTTTTATATTGTGAAAATACCTTACAGGGGGGTTACAATTACATGAACAAGGTAATGAGTACATTTCTTATCAAGCATTGTTGCCTCCTCCTTTGTTTTTCCCCTACTATTCCTGCCTTCCCATCTCCACCACTACGCCCCCCCCACCAAAGTTGTAAAGTTCGTTTTTCGATATAACAACTTGTACATCTCATTGTTGCAATGGGTCCACCTGTATCCCTATTTAAACGATTTATTTTTTCCCTTCCCCGCCCCAAATTATATCAACATCAAATACAGTGAAAATGGGTTATACCGTGGGGGAGGGACATAAAAAGCAACAAAAAAATCACCTTATAAATACGTTAGAAACAATAGCAAGAAAGAAAAAAACCACTTGTGTCCTTGTCTTGGGGCTCATTTTGCCTAACATCATCTTATCTGACCTTTTCTGCTTGTCTCAGACATATACTAGTTATTGTAAATAAGGGAAACCATGGGACCCAGCTTATTTCACTTAATATAATTTTTTCCAAGTCTTTGCATTTCAAGGGTGGCATTCTACCTCTTTGAACCACACCTCTAGTTCTGTGAAAATGTTTCATTCACTATCCTGGAGATATTTATATTTATACTACTATAAATTTTTTGCTTCATGAAAAATTATTAAATTATCATCTATTGTTTGTAGTGTAATTTAAAAAATGTTAGTACTCATATTTTTCCCATATTCTTTCCTTCCTTTCGTTCTATATAGTCTGTTAACATGTATATCAGATTTTATTTTTAACAAGTGCAAACATGGGATTTCATACATTTTTCAGATGGACCATCGACTGATAAAGACTCTGAGGAAAAGAAAAAAGAACCTGCAGTTCCATCCCAGAATAGCCCTGAAGCAAGAGAGGAAAGGTACTTCAAGGAAATTATACATTATATGTCCCGTAGTGTTTGTTACCTGCTCCATTATTGATTAATGATCTACACTTCTCTCTCTGCTTTCCAATCGAATGGAAATTAGACAATGTATATAGCCAAAGCTAAGGTTTTAAGCAAGATTTCCTAGAATTTTGAAGAGAGGTAGAGGACTACATAGTAAAAAGAAATGATATAAATTATACCCATTATATTTGATTGCTCAGGCTTGCTGTAAAACTGATAATGAAGGTACAGATAAGGGATTCTAATGACTTCTTTCTCTTTTGACCATGTTTCTTGTTTTAGATTTATTTTGCTCTGAATCTTATGCTCTTTTTTTTAATGCTTTTTTCCCTTACAAATTTAGCCATTTACCATAGAAGCTTAAAACGTGAAATACAGGCATGATGGGCTCAAATTGTCTCAGCTCCTTTGAGGTTTTTGCATTATTTTTTTTGCTGTCACATACCATGAACCTGTGCAGTATCCAAAATGTTGCCATAGCAAATGATATTTGTATAGTAGATTACATCTAAGTAGTTCTTCTGGTTTGGGGGAAACATGTAGTTTACCTGTTGACATTGACTTAGAGCAATGTGCGGTCCCTAGAAAAGCAGAGTGTAACAACATGTTAGAAATGGAAATGCTTAGGTCTCACTCTGAACTACTGAATCTACTTAATCAGGAATTCTTTTTTTTTTTTTTGTCAGTTGTAGGGCTTGAACCGGGCTTGGGAACTGTCCCTCAGCTCTTCAGCTCAAGACGAGTGCACTACCGCTTGAGTCATAGTGCTACTTCCGGTTTTCTAGTGGTTTAATGGAGATAAGAGTCTCACAGACTTTCCTGCCCAGGCTAGCTTTGAACCGTGATTCTCAGATCTCAGCCTCCTGAGTAGCTAGTGAACCACTGGCACCCAGCTGAATCAGGAATTCTTGTGATAGCCCAGAGTTCTATTTTTAACAAGTTCTTCAGGTACTTTGAGATACCCATACTGGCCTTAGTCAGAAATCCTCCTCCTTCTGCTTCTTTAGTAGCTAGGATTATAGACATGTACTATCTTGCTTGTATGTTATGAGCTTTTGACTGCTGCTGTGTAACCCACTTACTGCCTTAGAGGTATTTAGGACATTAGGCCTACTATCAGTTTTAACTTTATTTCTCAATTTCCACCAATTTGATCTTATATTCCTTTTTTTTTTAGTAATACTAATATTCCATACACTTTAAAATAATATGTATATTAGTACTAACTGTACTTGATGAAGGTTAAATAGCAGTGTTTAATCAAATTTATGTAGTTTTTTCCTTGAAACTTTTTATTTTGAGATTATTTTCCACTTTTAGAAAATTAAGAATTAGACCTCCCATAAGTCCTAATGCAAGGTGTGTATATACATAAACTAACTTTATTTTAAATTGCAGATGTTTTGCCCTGTATACTCCTAGATATATCAGTGTATATTTTCTAAGAACAAGTATATTTTTAAATATAAAACCATAGTGCAGTTATCAATAATAGGAAAGTAACAGTGAAATAATACTTTTTTCTTGCTGTAGGACTTATTCTTATGTTCTGTAGTTGTCCTAATAATATAATTTATTACAAGGGAAAGTATTTTTTCAACATATCACGCAGGATCACATATTTCACTTAGTCATCATATCTGTATGGTATCCTTTAATCTGGAATACTTTGTTTTGTTTTGTTTTTTGCTGGTTTTATATGACATTGGTAGATAAGCCATAATGTCACAAAATTTTAAGTTATATATATATATATATTTTTTTTTTTTTTTTTTTTTTGGGGTCCGGTCGTGGGGCCTGAACTCTGGGCCTGGGCGCTGTCCCTCAGCTCTTCAGCTCAAGGCTAGCGCTCTACCACTTGAGCCACAGCACCACTTCTGGCTTTTTTTTTTTCTTTTTGCTTATGTGGTGCTGGGGAATTGAACCCAAGGTCTCAGGCATGCAAGGCAAGCGCTCTACCACTGAGCCACCTTCCCAGCCCTAATAGTTATATTTTTAAAATCTGAATTAAAAATATTTTTATTGTAAAGATACTGTACAGAGGGGTTACAGTTACATGAGCAAAGTAATGAGTCCATTTCCTATCCGGCATTGTTACCCCCTCCTTTGTTTTTCCCCTACCATTCCTTTCTACTCTACCTCTCCTAAATCTGAAGTTTTAATGTAATTTTTATTCAGAACTCATTGGCTTAATGCCTTGAATATATGAAGTATAAGAAAATAAGTAGACATTAAAGCAAGAAGAAATTCTTGGTATATTTATGAATTTTATGTAGTTGCAGTTTAACACAGAGTCTACATGCAAGTAGAACACATGATACAAGTATTTTGTTTTCCTTTTTTAAAAGTAATGCTTATATTCCATACACTGTTTTTTTTTATTGTAAAGATACTATACAGAGGGTTACAGTTACATGAGTGAGGTAATGAGTACACTTCCTCTTGAACATTGTTAGCCCCTCCATTGTTTTCCCCCTACCATCCCCCCCCTCCCTCCCTTCCCCGAAGTTCTTTTTTTTTTTTTTTTGATTGTGATTAAGTGATTACATAATTTCTAAGTCACAAGTTCATTCTAACTTTCCTGGAGCAAATTGTCTATCACAGTCTGTAATATATAACAGTGTTCACATGTTATACACCATACATGTGATCAGCAGCATGGGGATATTTAGTAGTGGTTCAACCAGATGAGCAGGAGTTCTTTGTTTCTTAAGTCCTGTTAGTTTTGTCGTATCACCTAACATTTTGGATTTATCATCCACTTATCAGGGAGACCATGTACCGTTTGTCTCTTCGCTCTTGGCTTACCTCGCTCAACATGATTCCTTCTAGCTCCATCCATTTCCCTGCAAATGCCATTATTTTGTCATTTCTAATGGCTGCATAATATTCCATTGTGTATAGATACCACAATTTTTGGATCCATTCATCTGGATCTGGGTCTAAGGACCCTCCAGACTGCTTTCCAAAGGGGTTGTATAAGTGTACATTCCCACCAGCAGTGTAATAGGGTTCCTCTTTCTCCACATCCCCTCCAGCATTTGTCGTTGGCTGATTTCATACACTGTTTTTTTAAAAAAATGTATATTAATACTAAATGCACTTGATGAAGATAGGGTTAAATAGCAATGTTTAATCAAATTAATGTAGTTTTTTTCTTATAATTTTTTATTCTGAGATTATTTTCTGAAATCTGTTAAAATGGTTGGTATCTACTCACAAAAGGAAAAAATACAATACTGGAGAAATTAATCTGAAGTATAACATAAAGGAAGTTAGATCTACATTGTTAGTAATTGGGATGCAAGACTTTGAGGAAATTATATGCTTAAGTGATTAGAAGGAGGCAGCAGAATCTAAGGAGCAGCAGAAGTTGAAGCCAGTCACAGTGCCACTAATGAGGAAAGGCTGTCAGTGTATTAGGGCAGTTTTCAGTGGTCACACTGAGCATTTGAATATAGGAAGAGAGGCAATTTAATTAAAGCATTTAATTAAAATATTTAAGAAATTAAAATGTGTTTATTTACCACCGACAGATACTGTGGTGCATATTGAAAATACAAAGAGCATTAAGCCATAGTCAGATCTGTTAGGGAAGACTATTTGAAAAGCCTTATGTATGTAGACAGTAATTGTAATGTGAATGCAGAGGATCCTAAGAGTATCAGGGAGTATTGACTACAGTTACTAGACACAAATGATGGTTTTGTCCATTGTATTCTGTCTTTGAACTTTAAAAATCATATTTTTGGCGAATAGTCAAAGAGGTTGTATCCTTGAAAAAATGCAACAAGTTACATCTATTAAGGGAGAACAATTTAATCAGTGTTTCAAATATTTAACACAAATAACTTCAATGTGATGCAATATAATTGGAACTAATCAGAAATAACCTGGAAATAACTTGTTTTGTTGAAAGTGAAATACAAAAAGTTAATCAGAAGCAATCACAATGATTAGGCTGCCTAGAAAATTATTCTTGCTGTCAATGTTTCTTGGAAAAAATTAGGAAACTGTGTTTATAGTATTTAAGACTTCACAGTATACATGTATAAGGAGAATATTGACTCATTGGAACACTAATTGTATAACTAAAATAGGTCTTTTCAGCCCTTTTATTTTTCTCCCTCTAATTTGTTGCAAGTTGTCATCTAGATCTTCCATTGCAATTTAAGCTTTTCTTCCCTCACCCCATATTCTCATCCTATTAAGCTTTCCTCACACCAAGATCCTTGCTTTTTATGTACTGTATGGAAAGCTGTAATGTGTATAATTCAATATAGTAAACACTGTACTGTTGTTTTAAAGGACAAAGTAAATATTTGGTGTTTTAAAGAATAGAATGTGATTTATCTCTAATTTCATTTAGTCTATATGTAGGTAACGTTTTTCCTCATTATGTAAGAATCACTGAAATACTATCTTATTTATGTAGTCTAAAAGTTTTTGTTTTTTAGAGAGTGATGGTAATGTTATTTTAAGAGAGTTCTACCTGATTTTTTTGTGTGTGTCTGAATGCATGTATGTGTATTTTAGTAGTTCCAGTGGCAACATAAGCAGCAGAAAGGATGAGACAAATGCTCGAGATACTTACGTTTCATCTTTTCCTCGGGCACCGAGCACTTCTGATTCCGTACGATTAAAGTGTAGGGAGATGCTTGCTGCTGCTCTTCGAACAGGAGGTAAGTTGTTTTGCTTCTCAGGCTTTCAGGATACCACTACTGTGAGCTTCATCTCCATAAATGTTGTTTTATGAGCTTTCCTTTCAATAGTCTCCCACCCTACTTAGCTCAGAAACAAGTTTTTACTACTCATTACTATAAGTAATTCCTTATAGTATTTTTTGCTACTTATTACTATATAATTCCAAGAAATATACTGCTGCTACTATATAGATCTTCCATACCAATTTAAACTTTTTCCCCATATTTTTTCACTTTCCTGATTATACCATCCTTAGATTATGAGTTAACAATACTGAATTGTTAAATATTAGTATAACCTATAAATTGAATATTCATAATTGCGTTTAATTTTTAAAATTAGAAGAGTGATCTTGACATTTTTATAGGAACTTACATACTCTCTAGACTTAGCATGTAGAATTTTGTCTTTAAAGTCTCATATACAATTGAAATATATTCTAACTAAGTATAAAAAATGTGTATGTTTCTGTTTAAAAGAAAAGTTTCTTATACAGGAATTATTGTCATCTTTTACAAATTTACCCTTTTTCTTCTTTTTTATTATATTGAATCATAGCTAGTTTGACCAACTTTGATTTCCTTACTGTCTTTCTCTATATAAATATTCCCTTTTCCTTCCTAGTTTCTATTTATTTCCTTCTATCCTTTTGAATATTTGTATAGGAGTCTTCTGAGTGTGTCCGTATATGTGATTGGCAGATGAAACAAATGGTTTCTTTGCATTGAAGCCTGAGTCACAGGAGACAAGACAGTTCTTTCTATAACTTTCTCTACTCTCTGCTGGAGCAACCAGAATTTATGGAATTGTGAAATGAGGAGTTGCCTGCTAGATGAATTACTTCCTCACTCCTGAGGAAAAAGGAGTCATCAATGCAGGAGCACTATGGATATTAGGTGAATCCCAGAGGAGGAGTCTAGTGGGTAGTAAGAAGCCAGATTCTAACAAGACTAAACTAAAAGGACTTGAGACAAATGGGGTTGAAGAAATAGGAATCATGTACTTAACTCTGCACTGGAATTTTTTTTTTTAGCATGTAAGTTACAGTATCTTGACAGTTCTTTGTACCTGTTTTAGATGACTACATTGCTATTGGAGCTGATGAAGAAGAACTAGGATCTCAGATTGAGGAAGATATCCTTTGCATGCACATTTATCCTTGTTTTATGTAATTGCTATGTTAATTGTAATTTTTTCCTTCTAGTTTATAATTCAAAGGTTTATTCAATTTCTTGGTTGTATTATTTTGACTGGAAAGAATGTTAAAAATTAAATAAGGATAAGAACAATTTTTCTATTCTGCCAAGAAATTTATTCCATTTGTTTGTCCTGTTGTTCAAAAGTAAGCCTGAAGGTAGGCACTGGTGGCTACTCAGGAAGCTTAAGCTTGAAGTCTGAGGATCACAGTTTGAAGCCAGGCCAAGCAAGAAAGTCTGTGAGACTCTCATATTCAACTAACTACCAGAAAGCCAAAATAGAGCTGTGGCTCAAGTAGTAGAGCAGCACTAACCTTGAATGGAAGAAAAAAAAAAACTCAGGGACAGCACCTAGGCCCTGAGTTCAAGCCCTAGGAAATCAGCACTCCCTCCTTCCCCCCCCAAAAAAAAAAGTAAACCTCATAGTATTCAAGGCTATTCAAGGCATTTTTGTTTTTCTGCCTTGGAAAGTTGGGGAAGTAGCATTTGAATTTAATTGTGCAAAAAGTTAGGGACACACACACACAGAGGTAAAGATTTCTTAGTTGGAGATCTTAGCAAAGCATACATACTCCTCATCGTGAAGGGAAATATGTTTATGTTGGACACCATATGGTGAGGAGAACAGAGAATATCTTGGCCTTCTTAGGCAGAGAGCTCCTCTAGGGCTCAGTTTCTTCTGTGGCCTGGCCTTCTGTGCAGAAGAACTTGGTAAAACATCTTTGTGCTTAGTAGGAAGAAGAGATTAACCTGCTGATCGACCTTGAATGGTCTCTTCTCAGAAGACTGAGAATCATGGCCATAGTCGTTGAGACTTAGTGTCTTTAGTGAAATTCATATTTGGACAAGTTAAAGTTTGCCTGTTTGAGCTCCTTTCCAAAAATTTGCTCACTTAGATTGAGTGTATCTGAGTTATACTTTTTTAAACCTTATTGATTTGCATGCTGTTGACATTAAACATTTAAAAAATTACTCATCTTAAGTATTAAAGTAGCCGGGCGCTGGTGGCTCATGCCTGTAATCCTAGCTACTCAGGAGGCTGAGATCTGAGGATTGCGGTTCAAAGCCAGCCCGGGCAGGAGAGACCGTGAGACTCCTATCTCCAATAAACCACCAGAAAACCGGAAGTGGCGCTGTAGCTCAAGTGGTAGAGCGCTCGCCTTGAGCTGAAGAGCTGAGGGACAGTGCCCAGGCCCAGAGTTCAAGCCCCATGACCGACAAAAAAAAAAAAAAAAGTATTAAAGTACTAATAGTACTATTTGCTGATTATATCTCAACTAGGTAGAACCAGAGCCTTATTTTTATTTAAATTTTGGAAGCAATTTTTATAACTGCTTAGAAATTTCAGGAATTCTTATTTTGGCAGAATAGAAAAAATATTCTTATATTTATAATTTATTTTTTTTTCTTTTTATGTAATTTATATTTTTTTCCTCAACGGTCAAATACCTATATATCAAGAAATAAGGAACACAGATATGAAATATAAGAATAGAGTACGAAGTAGGATATCAAATCTGAAAGATGCAAAGAATCCAAACTTAAGGAAAAATGTACTGTGTGGCAATATTTCTCCTGATTTATTTGCTAGAATGACAGCAGAGGTAAGCATGTCTGTATATAAAGTTTCTTGATGTGATTCCCTGATAACAAGTGGAAAGCCTATTTAAATAAGTACTATGTTAATAGTGCATATATAGGGGCTGGGAAGGTGGCTCAGTGGTAGAGCGCTTGCCTTGCATGCATGAGGCCCTGGGTTCGATTCCTCAGCACCACATAAGCAAAAAGAAAAAAGCCGGAAGTGGCGCTGTGGCTCAAGTGGTAGAGCGCTAGCCTTGAGCTGAAGAGCTGAGGGACAGCGCCCAGACCCAGAGTTCAGGCCCCACGACCAGACCCCCCCCCCAAAAAAAAAGTGCATATATAGCAAGTTGATATACAAATACTTACGGTTATTGAATCTATTGACATCAATGCTTTGACCCTTTTATTACTGTTATATGATATTGTTGTTTGAGTGACAAACAGTAAATCATCTAAAACTAGAACTGTCTTTATGAATTTATCTAAAATAATGAAATCTCTCATTACAAATATTGGTCAAGTGTACTTAAATTGGTTTTATCTTATTCATTGTTCTTAAATTTATGTAGGGAAATTTATAGATACAGATACAGTGTGGCACCAATCTATTAAGTATCTTGAGAAGGGATTTATCTTTCTACATAGCTAATAAAATTACTATATTTACAATTTTTTTAAAAATCACATTAAATTTAAGCCTTCACAAAGAAGAGAATATAAGTATTGAGAATTTATCATCATTTTCATCTCACTTTGCTTTTCTCAAGTTTATTTTCAAGAAAATTCAGGCATTGTAGCCTCTCACCTCTGTATACTTAGGAAGAATCCTTAAAAATATTTTTTTCTCATAAATTACCTGTCCTCATGCCCAATAAAGTATTATGTAATGTTGGCTCACTTTACTTTGTATCAGAATCTAAAGTCTACCCACTACTTTTACTTTGGTGTGTTGAAATTGATTTATATGCTTGTTTCTTTAAATCTGAAGGAATGTATTTTCCTACTTGAAGAAACTAATTCTGTGTCCCACATTGTGATTTTATCTGCTTCTTCCTAAGGAGATTTTCTGTCTTCTCTGTTTTTTTCTATCCTGAAAGCTACTAACCAATTCTTGTAAGATTAATTACATTTAAGTTCAACCTTATTTCTGCATAAATTCTTGATAAGTGATGCTCTTCACTTCCATTGTATTATATCAGGAGACATATACTCCTCATAATGTTCTGGGATCCATCAAGGTTCATACAATAATAAGGTTTCTCCATTGTAAACTTTTCCATTAACCTCTTCTGCTCGAGTTCACTCATTGATGATCTTGAGTTGACTGGTTAGTAGGGTTAACCACTGCAAGAGAGTGACTGTTGTAATTTTGTCATTCCCTTTGCAGCTAGATTTGTTTGATAAAGCAACATTTTCTCTTATTAACGCAACCTGTTAGTTAAAATTTAAGAGGCAGGATAAATTTGTAAATTTTTTTCTCTCGTTACCAGTTATCAAAACAATGAGTTGGTTCCCTGGTTAATGGCCCTGGTAGCTATTTCTGGTTTTTGCATGTGGTGCCCTTCTAAATATTGCCTCATAATAATTCATTTTCGTGACTGAAGAAAATGTTCTATTTTGACCAGTATATACTCCTTCATGTTCATCCTATGTCCCTTTGGTTTAATCATAATACTCTGGTAGCTTCTGGACTTTCTGGCACAAAATGGTTACCCTGGCATATCCTGTGTACTTCTTGTCTTATAACAAATCTAAACATTTACAAAGGTCGCTGGTTTGGGGGAGTGGGGAAGTGGTAGAGAACACAATCTGCATACTACAGGTACTCATTTCTGTAGGTCTCTTTTTTTTTTTAACATAGCTTTTGAAAAGAAAACTTGAATCCAATTTTCATATATAAATTTAAGAGTATTTAAAAGGAATATTTTTAAAGGAGACAAAGTCTTAAGTCATCTAAGGAAAAATATACTTTTTTAAAAACTTTACAAGCTAGGGCTGGGAAGGTGGCTCAGTGGTAGAGCACTTGCCTTGCATGCATGAGGCCCTGGGTTCGATTCCTCAGCACCACATAAGCAAAAAGAAAAGAGCCGGAAGTGGCCTGTGGCTCAAGTGGTAGAGCGCTAGCCTTGAGCTGAAGAGCTGAGGGACAGCGCCCAGGCCCAGAGTTCAGGCCCCATACTGGACAAAAAAAAAAAAACTTTACAAGCTAATTTTACTTTTATTAATATAAAGCTAATTGAATATAAAAGCATTCAGGCTATAATATATATATTGGATGTGTATGTGTATGTTTGTGTAACTGTGATATTGCCACTTCATTCATAGGAAATGGCTAGTGATGAGCTAAAAGAGATGCGGAAAAACTTGACCAAAGAAGCCATCAGAGAGCATCAGATGGCTAAGACAGGTGGAACTCAGACTGACTTATTTACATGTGGCAAATGTAAAAAGAAGAATTGTACTTACACACAGGTTTGTGACCCTAGATTATTTAAAATGCTTGTATTGTTATTTTAATTCCAATTTCCTGAATAGAGAACAATTTCCTGAATAGAGAACCTCTCCTTTTCTAAGAAATTTCTCCTTTAACCCTGTTATACTAAAATAAATCCTTGTTAATAAAGTGCTTGCTTGCAGCTCCTGCTTTATACAGGTAGCAAAAATGCTTACTGTTACTTTGACATTGTCATAAGGAGATGTGATCTGTTGGTGAAAGAATACTTTCTCTGTACTTTATTAACTGACAGTAAATTGGTATAGTTATATCTTCATGGAAAGTTACTGTGTGAATTGTATCAGTTAAATGAAATTGAATAAAGTAATCATTTAATTTTTAAAAGTTGTTGTTACAAAGGTGATTTATAGTAGAGGGTTTACAGTTGCATAAGTCAGGTAATAAGTATATTTGTTTTTGGACAGTGTTATCCCTGACCATATTGGTTAATATATAAACAAGTCAGAATTGTTCATAGTTTGCAAAACAACAGATGTAATAGAAGGAAAGTTCTTCACTCTCTCATGTGACATGTGGGAACTTCATGAAGGTATAACTGCTTTCTGGATACTTTTTTTTTAACATATTGATAACTTTTGCATGTATCATATGATTGGTGTGTGTGTGTGTGTCTTTTGCATGTATTATATGATTGGTGTGTGTGTGTGTGTGTGTGTTGTGCGCCACAGTCCTGGAGATTGAACTCTGGGCCAGGTCACTGTCCCTGAGCTTTAGTGCTCAAAGCTAGTGCCCTCTCTTAAGCATCAGCTCCATTTCTGGCTTATTGGTAGTTAATTGGAGAGTCTCACTGACTTTGCTGCCAAGGCTGGCTTCAAACTGCAATCCTTAAATCTCAGCCTCCTGCATAAGCCCCCGGCTCCAGCAGACTTATTTGTTTTTGAATATGCTTTTTATGGTTATATTTATGTATGTGAAAATAATTTATCACTATTTCAGTTTCATTTGCCAAATAGGGTTTTTTTATTTTTCCTTTTGTTTTGTACTATAGCTATAATCGGCCAAATTCAGAATTCTCTCTTACAGGTCATGATATGTTTCAGGTCATAGATTTAGGGTATTTCTCTCTTAACAAAATTAAGCATCTAGAAAATCTGCTAGGTTCCAGTGGTTTACATCTGTAATCCTAGCAACTCAGGAAGCTGAAATCTGAGGATTGTGGTTTGGAGCAAGTCATGAGATTTTTATCTCTAGTTAACCACTAGAATGCCAGAAATGGAACTGTGGCTCAAGTGGTAAGGCACTAACCTTGATTTAAAACAAACAACTCAGGCACAGCACTGAGTTCAAGCCACAGTATTAGTATCATTCTGTATACAGGTTGTAGAAGTTTAATTACTCATTTAGGAAAATTTTAGCAAAGTAGAGTGATATATTTACAAAAGTAGATTATAGAGAGCTAAGGTTAACAACTAGAAAAATCATGGATATACAGTTTGCTTTTTTTATTTTTAACAGTATTGGGTTTTTTTTGTTTTGTTTTGTTTTGCTGGTTCAGTGTCCCTAAGCCTTTTTGTGTTCAAGCTTAGCGCTCTATCACTTGAGCCACAGCACCACTCCCAGCTGTTTCTGAATTGTAGCTAAGAGTCTCATGGACTTTTCAAATCACAGTTCTCAAATCTCAGAGTAGCTAGGATTACAGATGTGAACCACAGCACCTGACTAATATTGGGTTTTAATTCAGGGCCTCATGCTTTCTTGGCACTGGAGCCATACCACTAGCTTTTTACTTATATTACTTTTAAAATAGGGTATTGCTTTTTTCTAAGGCTGGCCTAGATAGCAATCCTCCTATTTAGGTTTTCCACATAGTTGGAATGGCAGGCATGTATCACCATGCACAACTTTTTTTTATTTTTGAGATGGAGACTTACAAACTTTTTGCCTAAGATGGCCTCAAACTGGGATCCTCTTTTAGTAGCTAAAATTGCAGGTATGAGTCAAGGTACCCATCTTCAGTTGTTTCTTTTAACACAATTTAGTCTAGAAGTGAAATGATTTTCTTATAACCAGAAAACACTCCTTACAAACCTTCCAAAGTTCTTGTGCATATAGCATAAAAAAATTAAGTGTAGTTATAAACCTGTAATCCTAGCTGCTCAGGAGATGGAGATCTAGAGGGTCACAGTACAAACCCAGCCAAGGCAGAATAGTCCATGAGATTCAGTCTCTAAAATAATCAGCAAAAGGAAAGAAGGAAGGGAGGGAGGTTAAGAAGAAGGGAGAGAGAGAGAGAGAGAGAGAGAGAGAGAGAGAGAGAGGTAGTGTACCAATTGAACAAGAAAGTCTAGTGAGGTGACTATGAGGCCTATTTAAACCCCAGTACCACCAAACAACAATAGAAAAATAGTTCAAGGTGATTCTTGGTTATTGTGGCTACCAAGTTACTAAAGGTTTCCCCAGAAAGCATGAAGTTCGTTTATATACTTTTAGGGCTCCAGATAGTATTTGTTGAAATTGTTTAAAATAGTAAAACTTATCTGAAGACCTCTTTGATTTTTTTTTTTTTAAGCGTGGATCTTGCTAAGTAGCCAGGCCAGTCTTGAACTCATCCTCTTGCTTATTTTCTTAGTGTTGGGATTGCAAGAGAACCCTACCGTGCCTGACTTTTTTTTTTTTTTTGGTCAGTCGGGGGCTTGAACTCTGGGCCTGAGAGCTGTCCCTTAGCTTTTCAGCTCAAGGCTAGTGCTCTACCACTTGAGCTACAGTGCCACTTCTGGTTTTCTGGTGATTTATTGGAGATAAGAGTCTCACGGACTCTTCTGCCTGGGCTGGCTTTGAACCACGATCCTCAGATCTCAGCCTCCTGAGTAGCTAGGATTACAGGTGTGAGCCACCGGCGCCTGGCTCCATGCCTGACTTTTAAGAATAACTTCAATAAACCTCCATCTTATTTGGGAATGTATATAATTTAGAGAAGTAATTTTTCTGACTTTGAGACATTTTGTTTTAGTAATTTTCTTTAGTGAAGAGCTTCAGAAACCTATAGTCCTATATCTATTTATAAAAATCATATTACTTGTTTTATTCTTGCTTAGTTCTCTTTTTAAAATGTACATGTTTTGAGACAGGGTCTCAAATATTTATAGCATTGTGCCTTTCTCCTCCTGATCACTTTTTCTCTAATAAAATGAAAAGTTGCTCACTAAGCAATAGTTTTCTTTTCCCCTTAGCCAGTGCAACCAGAATTCTATTTTGTCTCTGAATTTGACTTCTATTACCTTTAGAATTTGTAAATGAATATTAACATGTTATATTTGTTTCTTAATGATGTTTTTCCTATTAGCTAGTATAAAAGTATAATGATTGACTAGGGGATTTTCCTACTTGTCTGAGATAAATTCCATGTGACATACAAGGAGATATTAGAGAACTGAAGCTTATAAATAATTTTTTTTAGTGTATGTATATATCAGTACTGGTTCTTGAACCAGTATGCCAGTATGTACTATCCCTTAACTTTTTCTTCTCCAGGATGATGTTCTTCCAGGCACTATTAGCTCATATTTATAATCCTAGCTACTCAGGAGACTGAGATCCTGAGGAACATGGTTCAAAGCCAGCCTGGGCAGGAAAGTCTGTAAGACTCATCTCCAATTAACCACCAACAAATGGAAGTGGTGCTGTGACTCAAAGTGACAGAGCACTAGCCTTGAGCACAAGAGCTCAGTGACAGGGCCCAGTCCCTGAGTTTAAGCCTCCATAAACAGCAACAACAAAGAAAAGGCATTCTGTCATTGAAGCCACAGTTCCACTTCTCGCTTTTTTGTTGGTTAATTGGAGATTAGAATCTCATGGGCCTTTCCTGCTTTGAACCATGATTGATCCCCAGAACTCACCCTCCTACGTAGCTAGGATTACAGGCATGAGCCACAAGCAAGCACCTGGCAGTAATTTTTTTTTTACATTATATACTATTTCTGAACTTGTTGCAGGTTTTTACACATTTTATTGTGGTAGCATTAGGATTATTATATACCTTTATGCCATTTGTCTTTATTTAGATGAGATTTTTTTTAATGGTGCTTTATAAAGTAATATTTTCACTTGATTTTGCTGTAGGTGCAAACTCGTAGTGCGGATGAACCAATGACAACATTTGTTGTCTGTAACGAATGTGGAAACCGATGGAAGGTATAGTACTCTCTCGTAATCATATTGTTTTCATTTATAATAGAACAGTTTTCTCTGGTCTTTTCATATCTCTGTATAATGAATTACACTCGTATGCTCACAATGTCTAGCACTGTCAAGTGACTGAATAACTACTTGTATATGTATTAATATATAACCTACTAGAAATAGTGAACTTGATTTTACCACTTTGTATATATATTTTGATGGTACTGGGGTTTGAACACTTGGTGTTCTACCATTTGAACCACACCCTCAACCCTTTTTGCTTTATTTTTTAATAGTTATTTTCTATTTAATTATTTTTCTTGAAATTTTGCCCAAGTTGATGATGCTTCTACTATGCCTTCCACTTAACTTGATAATAGGTACATGCCACCATTCCCAAGTTTATTATTTGAGATGGGAATCGTTCTGATTTTTTGCCTGGACTGGGTGGGAGCTGCAGTCCTCTTGATATCTGCTTTTACAGTAGCTGGGATTGTGGTATGAGCCATTCTACTCAGCTAGCAAGAATCTTAAATGTACACTTACCATAACAATCCTATTTGTTCTAGCATCGATAAATTGGTTTCCCCTGTTATACTTCCAGAAAAATCTGTGTTTATCACTTGTTTTAAAAGATTTTGTTGCTTGAGAATTTTTCTTTATTGAAATGGAGTCCAGTGATCTTAGAGTTGATTTTAGGAATTAAAGATCAATGCTGTCATACTTTGGTAGACTTTTTTTTTTAGTAAGTATTTGCCTTGCCTGTATATTCTTAAATTTGGCTCCACAGACATGTCAGTGTTACTTAACTTATTCTTGAGTAATTGCTTAGAGTTACAAAAATAAATAAATAAATAACTGGCCAGAAAGGCTGAAGCCTGTAATCCTAGCTAGTTTGGGGAACAGAGATCATGATCTGAGACCAGCTGGGGCAGAAAAGTTTGTGAGGCTCCATCTCACATAATGACTATACACAACTGTTAACCAAGTTTTAGGGAAACACATGGCTGGATCTATTGTGTGCCTGTCATTCGTGGTGACTATATTCTATACTTCCCCTTCCCTCCCCAAAAAAGGAGAAGAAATTAACCTTAGAAGGATTACACATAAGTCACAGGAACACTTTCACTGTAAACAAGGTTGGGAGGCAGCTATGGTAACAACAAGACTTTGAAGTTTGTATACCCAGATTTTAATTCACTGTAATGTTCTCATGTATTTAAATTACTACTAATTCTAGACTGAAAAAACTCAGACACTTAAGATGTGTAAATTGTGTGAAAATTATAATAGCTTTTATTTGTGGGATCTGGAGTCTGGGCCTCATGATTGCTAGACAGGCATCTACTACTTGGCCTAACTCCAATACATTTTTGCTTTAGTTATTTTTCAGATAGGGTTTTGTATTTGTTTTTCTAGGGTTGCCCTCAGACCTTTATCCTCCAGATCAGTCTCTACCTCCCAAATATTTGGAATTACAGTGTGCATCACCAGACTTGGACCCAGTCTTTATTCCAAAAATGCCTTTAAAAAAAATGAATAAAAAGCCAGGTGCTAATGGATCATGCCTATAATCCTAACTATTTGGAAGGTAGAAAAGTTTACAAGACCCCCTTCTCAGTGGAGAATTGGTACAGTGGTACACACTACTTACCCTACCTATAACATGATGGGTGGATTGCAGTCCAGGTATCCATCTAGGAAGGAAGCAAGACACTGTCCCAAAAATCCCAAGGTCAGGAAAGGGCTGTAGCTGTAGCTTGATGATACATGTCTGCCAAACAACAGGCCTTGAATCCAGTTCTAGTACTGCCAAACAGACAACAGAAAGATAGTATACAAGCTGTATGCTGCTGTGCTAAATGGGAGGTCATACCCTAATGTTTCTATTTAAAAGTCTCACAAAATATTTTTTTTTTCCCACAGTTCTGTTGAGTTGGATGGATTGGCAAAATATCTGGACCATTAAGAAAATGGATTTTGTAATTAGCTTTAAACTAAGTCAAGTAACTAGTTTTCCTGCAAGTTGGATTTTTAAAGCAGCATACTTCCTACATACATCCCTTGGGTTAGTCTTCGTTTGTAACCTAACTTCCCTTCCTCAAATGCCTTCTGTAGTTTCAGATCAATAGGGAGGCCACAATACTGGTATATTGGTTTCAAACTTTTTTTCATTTTTGTAAGTAGATTGATATTAAACTTTTATCAACTAAACTTTTGGCAATTTTATTATTTTTTTTCTTCCTAAAGGACATGTTAACTTTTTTATAGTCTAAAACATGCACACATGTACAGTAGAAATTCTGTTATTCTGTTAATACATAAATAGAAAGTACTTTGTTTTTCATAACTGGTATGTACCTATGAGGAGAAAAGGTAATATATTAGTTTTACCAAACATATAATACTTGACCAGCTTATCAATACTGTACATATTTGAACTAGTATATGATTTTGACTTAATTATTATGTCCACAATCCTTGAGTATTATTTTGCATCTGTAACTAACCATGATCATCATTTCTTATATTTCCCATACATGTATATTAACTTCTCTTAATAGATTTTACTCTCAGAAATCAGTTTGTTTTTATTGTTTATTTGCCTGTCTGGCTTTTCAGTGTATTTAGTTTTGTAGAAGAATTATTGTTTGGTAGGCTTTTTCATGAATTTTCTCATAGGCAAAAAGCAAAAGCTTCTGATATATATTTTTCTCCTCATAGGAATAATACTGGGAAGGAACTGTTGGCATTTTAGTATAATGTAGCTGTTGTAAACAGTTCTTAACTTGATTTTGACTTGGAAATCTATACTGACCAAGAATTAAGCATAAGGACCATATATAAGTCATTAAAGCTGTAGTCTCCCAATGGAGATAGAAGGTGTTTTTATCCTGAGTCTTACATGCTGACTTTCCTGTCATATTATGAATAAGATTGTTCAATGAATTGAAACATGGGCTATAGAAAGTAGTTTTACAGTATAGATCTTACAATGAAGTTTTGCTTTTAAGTTTGTACCATTTGTTCTGTTAGGAATAAGAAATGATGGGTTTACATGCTTCTTTGGGATTCTCTCTTAAAGGCCACTATTACAGTCTCTCATTTATCATGCTGAGACTTCCTCCTTTCAGACAATTGTGGAGAGATACTTGTACCCACTTTGTACCTTCCTTCTGTTTCTACTGCAGATCATTTTAACAGATACAGAAAACAACATTGAAATGTCCATGTTATGGATTTGTCCATGGGTACCAACACACCTTTACTTTGTTAGTTTTGCGCTATCACTTTAAAGTACATTTTTGAAAGAATGAGTATAATAATAAAGTTAAAATAATCCCATTTTTAAATTAAGTGATCCGTTTAAAATTTGTAATTCAATAAAGCTTTTTGTTGTTGTTATGCATGTATCACATTTTGTCGTTTTCTTAAGACATTGAATCTTGTTTGATCATTTGTAAAATATCCTCTCTTCCTCTTCCTGCTAAACTACCAAGGTACTTTTGTTTGTTTGGTTTTTTTGTTGGTTGTGGGGCTTGAACTCTGGGCCTGCGCACTGTCCATCAGCTCTTCAGCTCAAAGCCAGCGCTCTTGAGACACAGTGCCACTTCCGGTTTTCTGGTGGTTAATTGGAGATAAGAGTCTCATGGATGTTCCTGCCTGGGCTGGCTGTGAACAGATCTCAGCCTCCTTGTTCTGAAGGCAAGGTACTAGAAGATTTTTTTTAAGCCAAGGAGAAGCCCAGGATCCAGTCCACAGCTGCTGTCACAGTAGTATAACCTTGCAGGTGCCTTACTCTAGTTTTTAAATTCAACTTCTTACTTTATACGCGCACACACACACACACACACACACACACACACACACACACACACACACACACACACACAATGTAACATGCTTGTTTTAAAAACTTGCTGTTCAAATATTTCAAATGTGAAAAGTATCTTTTCCTTTTAAAAGCTACTCCTTTCCCTATACTTAGGATTGAATTTAACACCTTGTGCTTACTAGAGAAGCTTGTAACCACTTAATCTTCGCCCCAGGCCATTTTGTTTCGCTTTTCTCCCTCCCTCCCTCCCTCCCTCCCTCCCTTCTTTCCTTCCTTTCTTTTTTTCTTTTCTTTCCTTCATTCCTTCCTTCATTTCTTTTTCTTTTGCTTTCTTTCTTTCTTTTTCTTTTCTTTCTCTTCTCTTCTTTTCTTTTTTCTTTTCTTTGGCTTGAACTCAGGGCATAGTCTCTGCCCCTGAGTTTCTTTTGCTGGGTTTGCTTTTTCTGTACATGGTTATTTAGCCTGTTTTTTAAATAGCATGAATTTAAAAGGGCAAATCTATAACGTTGTATGTGTAGTAAATTACAAACTAGAAAAATTACACTATTTAGCCTCCATAAGTTTTATGTAAGCATTCTTCTGGGAACCAGCTAAGCTGTTGCTCTGGTAATAGACTGTGGTCTAGATTTTAGATTAAAATAGATTCATTGGATGTTTGCATGTCAGAGAAATCATGTAATTCAGCTTCCCTTTCATAAAGAAGACTTTTTGAGCCATAACTTGACCCAGAAGTAGGAGAAAGAACTATTAACCAAAGGTAGCTTTTAGAAAGGCTTGGGCACATCTAATACTCTAATCTTCCAACACCTCCTTTAGGCTATATATTTTCTTCTTAAACTTTATTGGTAGGAAAGCTCAGATTTAAATTAGCTACTTAATTACTTGTGGTTTATGTAAAGATGATCATCAAATTGTATATGTTAGTTCAGATGTTGAAGGGAGAAATCTTTCTTGGAGACAGATTCAGAAGGGCCTTCATTAGGTGTCACTTCATGTGTTGGTGAGCTGTGGCTTTTTTGGAGGAGTGCATCCTTTTTTGGTCATTTTTGTTTTTTAGAATTCACTAACAAGACAAAGAGTTTTAATATGAAAATTCAGAGATATGTATAGTTACTCTTTGTAATATTTCTTCCCTCTCTTCTTAAAATAGTACCTGTGGGTTTCATTGTGTGCTCTAAGACTTTAAATGACCAGCTATGAAAAAAAGAGCAAATTTAGTAAAACTTCGGCTTTATTAATACCTTTTCTTTTTTTGTAATAGGTTTTGTGTTTTCTCACTTCAGTGTCCAAACTGTGACCCTTTAATTCGTAAACAATGAATTTTACTGTGACTGGTCTAGAGTTCAATGGGCTTTGAAAATTATTGAGTCATTACTCTCACATAATGTAATAAAGTAAAATATAAGTATAATTAGTAGCTTAAGAATATAACAAAATATTCTATAATAAAACAAATGTAACTATAACAATATATAAAACTATTCTATTGTCCCCAAGTTTCTTTGTAAAGAATTTGTTTTATATAATCCTTAACTGTGGACCTTCTATTCCAACTCCTTATCTCTTTTATGCCTTACATTTTAATCCCTTTAGCATTTTCCCTTCATCACTTTTCATTAGTTCCCCCATTTTTCATAAGGCTGGAGAGAATGATGCCTGGAGTTGATTGCCCTTAAGGTGCCTGAAAATGTGGGATGCTCAAGATAATGTTCTCAGCCCTTGCGTAGTCCATGGTCAGCACCTACTGCCTAGGGTCCATAAGAACCTTGCCAGCTAATCTTGGTAAGAGGTAAGAGAGCTGGTCTGGGGAAGTGCCTCCATTGAGAATCATCTTCACCATCCCAGGCACAAAAACAACATGTACCCTACTGAATGTAGGACTGCCCTGCCAGACTAGACACCTGGCTGGTGAGCCTGTCTGTGCATAGACCCTCAACAAAATGTGGTGTGTTCTTGGCCAAAGTGACTGTATTGGAGGTTAATCTGCTGCCACTTCAGAGAGGCAATTGTGTGACTCTTGCTCTTCTTGAGCAGGGGTGAATAAAGTCCCAGTCCTTGCCAAGATGGCATAGGGTCTGAATGTGTTACACAAGGGGTCAGATCTCACTGTGGGGATAAAGCGGGGGAGACAAGGAAGGAATAGTAGGGACAAGGTGCCAGGGACAGGAGTGAAAAGAACTGGGGTGATGAGGTCTGGGGTAGGGCAGAGCCCTGGCCCCACTAGGCTTGGGCTCTGTTTTTGCAGATGTCCATCTGGTGTCCCTTAGCAGCTGGTAAAAGAAGGGGATGCAGCAGCTGCCCAAGTTTGCCTCCTCCATTTTCTGGAGGTCAGGCAGCACTGGCTTGATTTGCTATGTAGTAGGAGTCTCTAGGGGTGAAGCTACCCATGTCCCCCCTTATGCAGGCTCTTTAATGCAGGTTCAAAGTCATCTTCACAGGCAGTTTTATTTTCCTGGGGTTCCCAGGGGCCTGAGCTGGGCTCATCAGTTGGGCTCTGTGAGGCTGCCTGTACTTGAGCTATTCTCAAATAAACTGCTAGTTAGCTAGCTCCTGCAGCTCCATCTCCATCCTTTGTGTGTCCTGGTCCAGGTGGTTTATGTACTCCTGTTGCTCTTCTAAGCAATGCCATGCTCTAGACTCCATGTGTATCTTAATTTTACTCTGGGTGAGAGAAGCTTGGATTTAAAGATGTTTGTAGGTGGTATACCATTGTGATGTTTTAAGTTCAAAACATGAGTGGGTCACTGCTTCCAGTTTTTAATTGAATTTAACCAAGGTGTGTCTTTGTTTTCTAGTATATCTTCCTTTACTAGGGTAGGAGTAGTTCAGAGATTGAGAGTGTAGTCCTCTTGGAATAGTTATACAGGGAGAGGAATGGTGGAGATTAGGCTTTGTAGAAGAAATCAGTTAGGAAATGGGGTGAGGTGTTCAGGTGAAGGGAAACAGTATAAAAAAGGATTAAGTGAAGCCAGGCACTGGTGGCTTATGCCTGTAATCCTAGCTACTGAGGATGCTGAGATCTGAGGATCATGGTTCAAAGCCAGCCCAGGCAGGAAAGTCTGTGAGATTCTTTTTTTTTTTTTTTGGTCCGGTCATGGGGCCTAAACTCTGGGCCTGGGCACTGTCCCTCAGCTCTTCAGCTCAATGCTAGCGTTCTACCACTTGAGCCACAGTGCCACTTCCGGCTTTTTTCTTTTTTGCTTATGTGGTGCTCAGGAATCAAACCCAGGGCCTCATGCATACAAAGCAAGTGCTATACCACTGAGCCACCTTCCCAGCCCAAGTCTGTGAGATTCTTATCTCCAGTTAACCACCCTCTCCCCCCCCCAAAAAAAAAAATTAGAAGTGGCACTGTGGCTCAAGTGGGTAGAATGCTTACCTTGAGCTGAAGAGCTCAGAGACAGGGCCCAGGCCCAGCATTCAAGCCCCGTGACCAACCCCTTCCCCCTCCCCCCCCCAAAAAAAGGATTAAGTGGTAGGGACAGTGGTTTACATGCTTTCAGCTTAAGAGAAGGAAGGAGAAAAAGAAGAAAGGGTGGTGGTGGAATCACAGTGGTTGATTGATGAGATTGCAAGGTAAATCACCTTTTTCTGATTTATGGCTGTGAAAAATAGAATTTAACAAATACAACATTCAATATAGTTGAAGCGAAAAATAGAATTTAACAAATAAAACATTCAATATAGTTGAAGCTATACTAAGTCCAATATCATTTTTTCTTTTAAAAAATTATTGTCAAGGTGATGTACAGAGGGGTTACAATTACATAAGTAAGGTAATAGATACATTTCTTGTCAAACTTGTTACCCCTTCCCTCATTTTTCTCCTACTTTCCCTCCCCCCACCTCAAGTCGTACAGATCGTTTCCAACATATTGTCTTTTGTGTATATTGCTATTGCATTGGTTCCCCCCTTGTCCTTTGTCTCAAAGACTATTTTTGTACAGCAAAAACATGATGAAGTATTAGGTGTTTTAATCACCAAAGATCCCTTACTTAGAGAGAAGGACTTAGAGATTAAGTTGTGGGCTCTTACTGACTGTGGCTTTTCACTGGCTCCTCAGGGAGTCCTGAGGTTTCCATGCAGCCAGACTCCAGCCTGTCTCCATCAGCTTGTTACCCTTGTGTGCTCTGGTTTTCCAAGGTTCAGTTCTCCAGGCACAACCAAACTTCACTGCCCTCAGGTCCTCATTATGTTTCAGTGGGTGTTCCTAAGGCTGGAGGCATGGGGTTACTTCAGCCTGCACCTCCAGGTAGCAGCTGTGGTATCTCTAAGCCCAGCTCTAGGTAGGAGTGAGCTGCTTTATCCCAGTTCTCAGTGGTACTGTTTTAGGTGGCTCCTCTCTCTCCCCAGGTTTCTGGGGTTCTGTACGTTCCACAGTTGGGTTCACAATCAGGACCTTGTGGGTGGGAGGGAGGGGGTCTCTGCTGTCAGGCTACAAGAATTGGGATTTGTTGATCTTGTGGCTGCTGGCGGCCATGGTGAATAATTTCTAGGTTCCTGGCAAGTTCTCATCTCTTCCCACAAGTCGGGGTGGGGAGGTTGGGTGAGGGTGAGGTGGGGACACCC